TATATATATTATTATATATATTATTATATATTATTATATATATTATTATATATTATTATATATTATTATATATATTACATATATAAATTAGAAATATAAGTCTGAAAGAATACTTGGATTCGTTTAGGGAATTTTGACACGATGTTTCGGCGATAGTCATGAACATTAACTTGAATACCTTAGTATATGTATCTATAAGAGTTTGTCAGAATCATGGCGGGTTTTGTAAGGTTTTGTTTACGGGTTTAGTTTATAAAAATAAAAAGTAAAAAGAATTATATTATACAATGCAACAATAATTACATCTTTACTCTTTTATAATCGAAGATCATAATTTATGGAAAATAAAATGTTATCAGCTGTCTTGAAATCTATATTTGGTTATGATGACTTTAAAAGCGATATTCAAAAACAAGCAACTACTGCTGTTTATAAAGGTTGAATATTTATTACTGTCATTTATAAATAATAAATATGTAGAATTTTATCTGTTTATAGGTATTTAAAATTTCTTATTCTCAATAATTTTTAATAAATTACCTATAAAAAATTGAACATTTTCAGGTAAAAAAGATGTATTTGTATGTATGCCAACTGGAGCTGGCAAATCACTTTGTTTCCAATTGCCAGCTTTAATGAAAGAAGACAAAATTACAGTTGTTTTTTCACCATTATTGGCTTTAATAAAGGTATATATATGCAACATAGAAATATGTGTTATAGACATGTAAAATGTCCAAAGATGATCTAAATGAATAATATAACATTGTCTTGTTATTGTAGAATCAAATTGACTTTTTAGTAAGTAAAAAAATTAATGCAACCTCATTGAATTCAAATACGTCTACTAAAGAAAGAAATGCAATAATGAAAGATTTGGCATCTAATTCTCCAAAGATCAAATTATTATATATTACTCCTGAAATGGGAGCACAGAAGCATTTTCAAGTAAATTATTAATTGTGATAGAATCTTTAATTTTGATTAATTATATATTGATTAACTGTTGGAATTATTTTTCTATAGGACACAATAAGAAGATTAAATAGAGAAAAATTATTATCTTATTTTGTTGTTGACGAAGCTCACTGTTTGAGTGAATGGGGCCATGATTTTAGACCTAGTTATAGAGAATTAGGAAAATTTAAAGAATTATGTCCCAAAATTCCCATAATTGCGTTAACAGCTACTGCTGCAAAAGAGGTAAGTATATTCTGTAAATTTGTGAGTAAGAGTTAAAATTTAATTAGTATATATTGTTATAGGTAAAAGATGATATACTCCAGTGCTTAAATATGAAAAATCCTGCCATATTCTCAGTTCCTGTATTTCGACCTAATCTTTATTATGATGTATGGTTTTTAGAAATATTAAACAAGCCTCTTGAGCATTTAAAAAATTTTGTTATAGAAGCTCTTGGTTCTCAAGATAAATGCACTCCAAAAGTAAGTAATATAAGTCTATAACATATATAACATACATGATATATAAAATACATAAAAGAATTAATTGTAGGCAAAAAAAAATTGTGGCATTATTTATTGTAGAAAAAAGGAAGCAACAGAAGTAATTGCATATAAATTGTCTAGTTTTGGTATACCTACTCTTGCATATCATGCAGGTATATTATTACTATCTCTAGTAGTCGTGAAATTGAAATAAATAATAAAATATAAATAATTATTTTTATAGGTTTAAAAACTCAGGAACGTAATGAAATTCAAAATAAATGGACATCTGGCGAAGTGCCTATTATTGCAGCAACATGTAGTTTTGGAATGGGTGTAGATAAAGGATCTGTTAGGTAATTTATTTTATATCATAGAAAGTGTATGTTATTTTCAGTGCCATTTTATAGTAAAATTATTAATTTTATAGTAAAATTATTAATTTTACATACAGATTTGTAGTACATTGGACAGTTCCTAAAAATATAGCAGCTTATTATCAAGAATCTGGTAGAGCTGGTAGAGACGGTAAACCAGCATTTTGTAGAATTTATTTCAGTGATAAAGAATATTCAGCTATTTCATTTCTTATTAAAGGGGAAATTGCGCAGAAAAAATCTGAGCTTGTAAAATTAAATTGGAAAAATTTTGAAAAGGCTGTTTCTTATTGTCTTGAAGTAAAGTAAGAATCATTATGTCGTCTATAATTATGTTATTTGTAATATACAAATGTTAAATACAATTTAATATACGTTGCAGATGTAGACATACAGTGCTCTCTAAATATTTTGGAGATAGTCCACCTTTATGCAAAGATAAGTGTGATGTATGTAAAAATAAAGATAGTGTTCAAGCAAGAATATCACAGTTTGAAACATTTCAAACTAGATCGCAATCTGAATCTAAATTTACTGGCAATTTAGATAATGTTGCTTTATCAAAGTATGATGTTTGGTGAGTAATATATTTTACAAACATTACAATTTTATATATTTTTTACAGTCGTAACTATTTTTATCTATAGTGAAAATGAATACGAAGGAAAATCAGATTCAAGAGAAAAACTGTTAGCTGAAAGTAAACGAGAAGCTAAAGAATTAATTGAAAAGCAATTTGCTATTCGGAGAAATAATAATAAAAGTGTTGAGGTAAATATATTTAAAGATACATTTATATTTTTTAGTATCTTAAAACTTATTTGTTTTCATTCTATTTTAGTTAAAAAAACGAAATCGCGAAGATGCTAAACAATCTCATGTACGTGCAGCTGAAAGTACCGATATAAAAATAAAGGGTTTATCTGTGCAAATTCGTGAACATTTCTATGCTCAATTAAGATCAGCTTTATTAGATAATTATGAAAAAATATTTCCTGAATCTAGAGAACAAACCCAAAAGATTGATATGCATAATTTAGCATATGAACTCGAATATAAAGTTTTATGTAGCAGTAAAATTGCAAATAAGTACAAATTTGATATGTCTAAATTGGTACGTAATTTAGTATTTTACATCTATGTATAGTTTGTTCATATTTCTCAATAACATGAATTGAATTTTTTGATACAGATTTCTTCGATACGGAAATGTACCAGCTCTAATACGCTACACGAACATTTACAAGATTTTGATGCAAATAGTAAACAAAATATGCAACTAGAATATTGTAATGAATATGATAATAAAGAAGGAAAAAGTAATAATTTAGAACAAGACACGAAAGATAAGTTAAGTAAACAAGAAAATAAAAATATTTTATGTCCAATATTTAAGACTGCTTTAGAACTAAGAAAAAACGAAGAAATATTGGAAAATAAGGCTCATACTAATAAAAAAGATATATTCGAGTTAAGTATTTTGCAAGATGATTATAGAAATACTAATATAATAGGATGGAAAAATAGGGTTGACAAAAATTTGTCCCTTTTTGCTAAAGATGTAATCAGTGAAAATAGTAATCTTATAAAAGAAGATAGTGAAGAATTTCCAAAACAAGATAATACGACTGATTTTCAAATATTAAATGGTTTTATGTGCGCTCGAAAAATTCACGAAAAGAATGAAACGTTATTAAAAAATCACAATAAAAAATCAAGAAAATCTTTGAAAGAACCTAAAAAGAGAAGTCCCAAAAATAAAAAAGTGTTACCCGTAAATAAATCGGTTTATGAACAAATTTTACAATCTGCAAAATTAATGAAAATGACAAAAAATAATGAAAGTGACCACAGTGTAAATATTAAAAATGAAAAAGACTCAAAATATCTTAACAAAGAGAAACGTAAAAATATAGATCTATCTGAAAATAACGTAAATACAAAATCTCATAAAAAGATGAAATTCGAAGGAAAAAAATGTCCTGTAGTCAACAAAGAAAAAATTATTAATACTGATAACACTGTCGTTACTGAAATTTGTGTTGATAAAAATAATAAAATTGACAATGAAAAAACTGAGATTGATAATTTTGAAGATAAAAATGTATTTATACCAATAAAAAATATAGAAAAAAAAGAAACATTAAAACAGGAAAATATAATAATTGGACATATAGAAACAAAAAAATCTTTACAAGAGAAATATAATAGAAAAACTCGTTCAAAACAATATACAGATAAAGATAAGAAGAAACTTGTACCTGCAGACAAAATTACTCAATTTCAAACTGCAGAAATTTTAAAGTCATATTTAATGAAGTATTACCCATCTGAACGTATTCCTGATCGAACGACATTTTCAAAAACATGTAGAGAAATGCATTATATTCTTCTCGGGAAAAAAATATTTGGTAAAATATAATTTTAAAAAGTTTACATATTTTTATGATGATATTCAGTTACTTTAAATTGATTATAAATGTTTCAGATAAAGAGGGAATACAACAGTTTGTTAAAAAATATATGACACAGAATTAGTGGTTCTTATCACAAGTGTCTATTCAAATATTATATGAAATATGAAAAACTTTGTATATATCTGTATAAATATGAACTCTACTTTGATTTGAAAAATCTTTATTTATTACATATATTTAAAATGATATTTAAGCTTTAATAATTAAAAACAGACATGTTAACAAAAGTTCGAATTTTTTAAATATTAACTTCTTTTATTAAAATCTTTTGTATTTATGAAACCAAATCGGTTATTTTGTATTTTTAATAAAGTACTTGTGAATCTATACTTACATGATATTTCTTTTTTATTTTTATTTCTATCACTTTACAGAAGAATACAAATACATGTATTTTTATTACAAATATTATTTATTGAGCAATTATTATAAATATGTATATTATTAATATTTCACTGGCAAGAATGCAGTATTTTTGTGGAAAACGTAATAGTTATTGCCATAAAAGTTATATAATATATAATTGATGGAAACAGTATTCATATAAAAAGTTTAAATCACACTTTATTTTATCATAATATTATTATTATATATTATTATTATAAGTAAAAGAATAATTTATGTAATAATCTATAAGAATGTGTTTATTTAGATTTTACAAAAATACTGCTTCCTTAGTTGATCTGTACTACGACTCAAATATATAAATGAGGCAAGAATAAAAAATGAAATGTTTAAAAAATTATTAATAATTGTCGATTTACTTAAAATTATTTATAGTTTTTTATATCTAATACTACTGTATACATTATGGAGATTTCAAAAATTTATAAACTAAATATTATAAAAAAATTATATCTAAATACTATATATATTATATTGAATATATATTGAAAATTTGCAATTAATATTCAATAAATATAAATAATATTTATAAGTAAGAAATTAGTCGAAATACTTTGATATAATCAGATAGAATATGTTTAGTTATATTTTAAGAATTTTAGAAAATTTAAATCTTTGTGTTAGAAACACCATTATAATTTGAGAGTCACAAATGTTTTAATAATTTGAAAGTTACAGATTAAGAAATAAATACATTTTTGATAAAGTTCTAAATTGAGTACAGTGAATTATATCTTGTAATAAAATATTATATAGTTGTGTTTATAATATACAATAATAGAATTTACATTTAGTAATAAAAACGATCTTTGTTGTTACTGATAAAAAAGAATTTATAATGCTTTTTATGATTTATATAATACTTTTAACAGTGCTTAACAAATGAGCAATATTTAGTATACGTAATTAATAATTAAAATTTTATTATTATGTTACTAGTAAATATGTTTTGATTCTTAAAATGCACAAGTCGTACATCTGGAATTAATGATACAGAATATTGTAAATTTTGGAACGATGTGCATTTTAAAGATTGTACAAAAAAAATGTATATATAAAAAAACCATAAGATCAATCGTCCTTACTGTTTTTTAAATCTATTACTTTCAATTACAAACGGTGCGATTCAAAAATAATACTTTTTTACATTATGAAAAAATCGTGGATAACATAATTAAATATGTTAATTATTTTTGAATTATAAATCACTTAATCACTATACCAGTCTATAACATCAGTCTTAATGCATTTAATTGTTTATATAAAATTACAAAACGTCTTGAGCAAATGATCAATCTTCTTTTCTGATTTTGTTTATCTATAAGCGCATTCCGGCAATTTTTCATAAATACAAAATATTATCGCCGAAATTAAAAATAAAAATTTCTACGCCCGTCAAAAACTTTTTAATAAAAAAGGAAAACAAAAAGAAAAGATGTTAGTGATATATAGTAGTAGAAAGTAACAATTATTTTTAAATTAACACCGTTTGCATTGACCTGCGTAGTAAAGAATTTAGATGTCACTGCTTACCACTACTGCTTATAATTGTATTTAAAAATATTGCCAACTACTTCACACCATATGAACTATATTTTTATTCTATGATCACAGTACGACTTTAATAGAATCGAATATCGATTTTACGATACTATTGTCACTATATAAGAAAATATTAAAAGTAAATATGTAAGTACTTTCTTACGGAATTCGATCATTCTTTTTTTTGTATCGATTAGAATATCTCGAAGATAATCGAAGATAAATCGAAGATAATCTAACGTGTTCCATTGCAAAATAGCCTCTTTCCATAGTTTTTTTTTTTTCTTTCTTCAGTGACTAACGTTACACGATGTCTTCTTTCAAAGATGGTAAATCCAGTGCCGTTTCAAGTACCTTCTCATTCTTCGACTCGATTAACGAACTGTCCATTTCGTCGATCTTACACGACATTCGCCTATTATTCAAAATTTGTATCTTTTTGCTTTTTATTTCAGAACTGAGCCACTGTCGGGTCAACGTCGATTCTGTCGACTGGCATATAATGATCTTGCGAATACAAAGGCTTATAAGTACAAAACCGGCGAGCATCGAGAGATAAATCAAAACACTCTGGAGAACTGGTAAGAAATTCAAATAGAACCAAAAACGAACTAGCATCGACATTGGCAACTTGGACATTCCCTAGAAAATAGATTTTTTTTTTGAAATATATCGATATATTCGATATTGAAGGTACGCGTTCGATACTTGAAATTCGATATTTTCCAGTACTTACGATTTCGAACCACAGCAACGGTAGCACGAAATTTTCGAATTTCTCCACTCTGGACATGTGACCGATATTTTGCAAAGCCATGTTGATTTGAAAACGGAACGCGAATTTCAAAGGTAGACCTGACTTTGGTTGAACATAGAGAAAAGATTCATGAAGATCAGGATTTGGATTCAACCCTTCGACAGCTTCCAAGATGCTCGGATCAGCCTTGTAGAAGTGCGGATACGAGAGAGCAATTGGAAATCCTGCATCAAGGTAAGTGATAACATGAATATTAAACTCTTGTTATTTTTTAATCTTTTTAACGCCATGTTTATACATGTTGATGTTTTATTTATGTTCCCATGATTATACATGTTGATGTTTTATTTATTTACAACCGGTGTTGTAATAATTTCTTGTTACGTAATTATTTTTTCTCTTATTCAATCTTTCAGCATCCACTAATAGTACGAATATGCGTCATTAATAATTAGAGCGATTAAAATATATCTATTGATACATAAATGGATTTCTTTTCTGCATCTAAATTATAATTTAATTGATTTATTTTATCGTATCAGTTTTATGCATTGAAATTCATTGAAAAAAATGTGAGGATGTGGCTGTACATTTAATTAATATAACGTTAACTGTTAGCTTATGCAACATCTTTCATATCTTCCAGTTTTTACAATATGGAAATTTATTTTTGCAATAATTTAAATGGTCATCTTACCATAGTAACAGTCGGTGACATCAATTAAGCCAGGTTTTAAGCAATATCCATGACGGCAGAAACATTTGTTCTCTGGGATATAAGCACCATTGTCCAATATATTCTCCACGAATTTGTATTTATATACATGCATTCTGTCCATGGTTGTTTCTTCATCTCGTTTCTGTAATTATATTTTAATCCCATTTATAACAAACAAATACCTATCTTCTACTATTTTACTTTATATTTTTGATAATAACTTTTAATATTTATATATCATTATTATATATCATTGGTAATTCAGGATAATACAAGGACATTATAACTCAGGTTGAGATAGCTCAGTTGGTAGAGCATCAGACTCTTAATCTGAGGGTCCAGGGTT